TTTCAGATATTAAAATTCAAATATTTCATATGTTTAACGTTGCAAAAGTTGCTTGAATGTACCGAAGCGACCAATCGTATTCGCCATTTTGATTTATACCCGTGCGGCAGATCGAACTTCTGGGGTGAATCCCGCGGAAGGCAGCGCGTCTTTGTCGAGATCGTCGAAATATATGTGCTGCAACGCCCTCTTCGCTGAAATTCGTTTCGCGGGATCGTAGATTAACATTGCCTACAAACCAGTTTATTATTTCACAGCAGAAAATGCATACTAACGCATAAAACAAAACCTTCAATGCCTACAAAATTTGAAATTGTTAGCTTCACTTTATTTAGTTACAATCCCTCATGAAGTTTCAAAGAAGAATATGGTGACCCTTAAATTTAATGTGACTTTTAGGCTGAGAGAAGCAGTAAACTCTCTGACCATCAAATGTACGTACCAACGCAGAAGTCCACCGCTGTCAGATTAAGCAGAATAAATATAATCTCAAATTTCACCTATTGGTCAGAGGTATAACGAGATGAATGTGCAGGCTTGAGCAATGTTTTTATTTGACATCTCCCTGGTGTTTTTATATATAAGTTTCTGTACGCTTCGCCACCAGGTAGATCGTATTGATTCGTTAGACGGGTAAATCAGTAGATGGAATAAGGAACTGATCATGGGGTCTTTTTAACTATTAAAACATTCCTATTCGACACTGAACTTCACAATACATACGTACATAGGCTAAGAAACAACTGTTCCATTCAACCATCCTAAATGTTGGCCCGTTATTAAAGCCAAGCAGAACAAATTGGTGGTCATGCAAACAGCGATGGAGTGAAAATAGGCAAATTGTCCCTACGGGATCACGTTTCGAATGCACAGAAAGCTTGCCAACCAACTGGATTAACAGACGTGATTTGCGCTTAGTGTGACGCTAAATGAAGACTGACCGCTCATCTAACTCTCGTGAGAAACAGTCGCTTGACGTCCGGAATTAAAAACTGGGTTCCGCTTAACCATCAATGTCGAGTCGGTCGCGTTCAATAGGATGCCGAGATGATCGGATGTCGCCACATACCTAGTCAGCAGTGGAGGCAGAAAACAGAGAATGCGAGTGAGACATAGTGAGCTTCTGTAGTCATAACGAGCGCAAGTCGGATAGC